AAGGCACAAAAGGTTGCTAGATATGACAACATCACGCATGGTGGTACTCGATGTTTCAAATTAAGTTTAGATGTATTCGGGGGAAGCGTAAATTAGTTGCGATCCTAAATGTTTCAGGAAGTATTTTGTGAAATCTGATGTTATGCAAAACTCGCTGGCTTACATTTCGCTTTCGAGACAATTATCAACGATAACCTCGAAAGTCCAACCAGCTGTATTGAAAGAGAGAGGACCGTGTTTGAAGAATCCATGTTGCATAGTAATCTACATATGAATACTACTTTCAAAAGTTGAAAGAAATCCAATTTTAAAAGCTGTTAGCGTCATGGTATTAAGGCTTTCATCCAAATTAATAAAAGTTTAAAGTAGGAATCTGCATGACTGACACCATTTTGTTATTACGTTCATAATTATTCTCAATTTCTTGGAGCTGGTTCAATGAATTTGTTTCGGGAAAAACTGAATGTTAAAAGATTATCTCGAAGAACATTTATCTGTTTAATCTATTTAGCTTGGCGTTTTCAAGTTTATGTACTCAGTAGCCTTGGGAGAAAACTAAGCTGCAATAGTAAGCGTTGTCGCAGTTCGGAGACCCGATGGGGAACCTGTGGTCAGCGTTATTCTCCTTTAAATTTTACTTTAAACCTGCATGAAGCCGTCCCCCCTCCCCCATGGAGAAACTCCTTGCGAAGGGGGTACGGCTACAAGTAGGCTGAAATTTACTCTGAAGTAAGGGTTGTTCGGATTCCTTTTTTTTTTGGTAACCGCTGGTCATTCTTTTTCCAGTTCCGTTTTTCCCCTTTCCGTCGCTTTGAATACGAAGAGAAGAAAAATAAAGACGTATCTGTCAAGTCCATGCTATTTTTTTTTAGTTGTCTTCTTGGTAACCCTCGCCTCTACCAGGTCCCAATATTTTTAACAGCTGACTGACAGTTGTCACCAGTTTCTTTAATTTTGGGAGTATAAGAAATGAAACCACTCGGATTTCAAATTAATCAAGGCAATCACTCAGTTTGTCAGCTTGGCAGCCTTCTGACTTAGAGGTAATGTAACTCTGTGTTTATGGCTGGTGATTGTACAAATGTCAGAAAAAGATTCTGTATTCATATCAAGCTTTTTCCCCTAAGGAAGCAAGCGCGTCGATTAAGTAACTGATAACTAATATAAATCTTTATAAATCTTTCGTGCATTTTCCACTAATCTTTTCAGTGCAAGATCACTCACACTTGTCGCTTCTCATGATAATGATGTGATATGTTACATCACAGCAATCGATATCGCTTGTTTATACTATACAGTTTTGTTTCAAGTAAGCAAAACAGTTTCTCATATGTAGCATCCTTGAAACTCACAGGAATAAGCGTACACATAATAAGCACAACAGCGCTTTTTGCCTTTTTTTTACGGAGGCAAACGAAGGGGGGAGGCGCGAAGGGCGAGTTGAGCGCACGTAAGAAGATGGGTGTTAAAAAAACAGCGCCTGCACGTATGCCATTGTTTAGTGTTTCGCCTCCGGACCTTCATATCACTTGCTGTGATTCTACTACTCAGCGTACGGTTAACCAAGGGTATCAACAGGAGAGTAGCTCTGTCAGTTAACGGTATTTTCTTTTCTTCGCGATCATGAACTGCCTGTGACTACCAGCGCCTTTAATCACAGGCGGTCCATGCTCCAGCTGGGAGATGATCATCTTGCGAAGTAAGAGTCATGTTGAAATTATAAGAGTTTGTATGGGAATAATTACGTCCATTTTTGGAATAAAAAAATACAATCAAATTCTCAATAAAAATACTTCACCTAACTTTCACAGTGTAGTGCTTGTTATCTGACCGCTTACTGTCTTGAAAGGAACCCATTTTAGCGAGTTATCCATTTCAAGGTTTACTACATGAGTGAAGCCCTTATGTAGTAAATATTCCCATAAAAACTTTGATAATTTTGCCATAGCTCTTATTTCGCAAGATGATCATCTTACGGCTGGATCTTGGGCTGCTTGTGCTTTAATGAAACTACCGTTCCATAGTTGATAATTCGCATGCTTTTATGACGGTTCACGACAAAACTGCCCCTTTTACACTGTGAACCATGAAATTATAAGCCTTTTGACAGCAAACTATCAGCACTCTCGAGATACTTTTATCCTGATTTGCTGGTAGTTTTCTGGAAGGCCTGAACATGCTGCGGAGCTGCGAGAGGAATAAGAAGGGAGAAAATGCAATCGATAGCTTCGCCCCACCACCTCATTCTTTTTAAGGTAACACTAACACACGCATAGTTACCAGTTACGATGGTTACACTGCCCCCGCATAACATTCTTTGCTGTTAGCGTCACTCTGAGATGGAGAGCTGCGAGAAAAAGAGAAAAGAGAGGATCCCTTCAACCTGCCCGCCGCCATCGCTCGTGTTTTCGATAAAACACAAACAAAACCGCCAGCCATGAAGGCCATACTGTCCCCCGCTTAACCTGCTCTGTTGGTGGTACTATGTGGAGTCCGAGTAGCGTAGCAGCTAGAGGAATGGAGAAAAAAATTATAAAGTCCCTCGAGGCTTGACGCCAACGCCGCTTGTGTCCTGATGAAATATACAAAAAACCGTCAGCCACGATGGTTTCGCTGCCCCCGCATAACTAACCTGCTTTGCTTATGGCATTAAGGAAGTTTGAACGAAGGGAAGCAGCAAGAGAAATGGGACACAGAAAGTCCCTCGATGCTTAGTTCACTGCCCATGCTCTACCCGTATGTAACGAGCAGAAAAACAGCGAGAATAATGGTACGAGCCAAGGGCTTTGTGCTACCGCAGCTTTTGTTTTGATGACGCACACGACAAAAACTGCCAGCTACTACCTGCCCCCTCATGGAAAACACGTGCTCATAGACGCCTCTGTTTTTCGTAAGAAGCAGACTAGCTATTCTTGAGAGAAAACAAAGGAGACTGAAACACTTATCATTTTACAAGAATTCGGTCACGCAAACGAAGGAAACTCTATTACCATTCAACAAGTCATAGTACTACGAAATATATCATGATAGCGATGTCTGGACAGTAGAAAAACTTGATTCGAAAAAGTGCCGTGAGGCCTAATAACAGTCTAGCGGATAACATCAGGGTAAACCTAAAAACATTTCGTCCGAAGACCCCCAAGCTTCAATTTGTGTAATGATATATATATATATATATATTATTAGTAATTTAACAATGGCGTTGATAGGCGGGAAACTCAGCCAGTCGTGAAACATTCACTTACGGCTTAGAGTTCTAGTTTGAAGGCAAGCTCATAGGTGATTCTTTCCTTGCAATTTTTCAATTCCATGAGATTTGACCACGAACAGGAATTGTTGGTCAAAAGTTTTTCCAGATGGTTTTTTCAAATTTGAGACAAGCCCGTAGGCGATTCAGATGCATTTCCAAAATAAAAGCCTCGTGGAATTTTGGAGATGTTACTACAGCTGCTAATCACGTGTGACCTTGAAAAACAAAACAGTTCTCGTTACGAGACAAGCGTGGTACACTAACAGGAACAGTTTCTCTATACCACATTTGCAAGACATTGTTCGACTAATTTCCCCGGTTGTGCTTCTTCAGCGGACATTGTAACATTTTACAATCCTGTCAATGTGAAGCAAAAGCTCAACTTCACCTCGGATCGAAGCCTTCTAAAACAATAGGTTTGTCTATACGCGAAAATAATCCTTAGCTTATTCAAGTGGAGGCTTCGGTAAGACGCCAGCCCATCACTTATTAAGTTATGGCATATTTCCACTTTTACAACCTGTGGCTTGAGTATAAACAGCCCGTAGATTTCTCTATCACATCGATACGCCTCTACAAAAACTAGGATATTGTTTATATGTAGCACTCACTGTTTCACCAGACGCAATTTAAGCATAGTATTAATTTCCCCTTTTGAAATAAAAATAATCATATTTGATATTCAGGGTCTGAGCGAAACAAGTTAAATTTTTCAATTATTTCGGGACATCCTTTTTATATGTTTTTCTATAGGAGTGCTGCGTCTAGCACGTGGCGGCGAAAACAGTAAATATAGCTATGGTATCTTTATAGGCGCAAACAGCATTCCCGCCAAAACACATCACCATCTGCGATACACGACTCGTTTGTCAAGTTTGAGACCACATGAAATTTAACGTGATATCAGTATATGTTAGTAGACGATTTGGTGTGTAGTATCGCTGAGCATTTTTACGAATTGTACCGTATTTTGAGGAGTTAACCGTATTGTACCGTATTTTGAGAAGTTGGCATTAACCGCCACAATACAAACAACGAGTCTAATAAATTATTTATCACCCAACTGCTCCTTTTTCTGGTAATAAGTCTCTCTGCTCATTTCTCACAAGGTGAGAATAGCAAAGCGGATAGAGACGCGTAGCGCGCGCAGCCGACTAGTAAACAGGTTTTTTTACAGTACAAAATAACCAAATGTCCAAATAACCGTCGAATATCGCAGATGTTTGTACTCTATTGGCGCGTTATTTGTACTCTACTTTGTGCATTTGAATAATAAACCTTAATACTTTCCTCTTGACCTTACGACGACGTCTAAATATGTAAAATTTTAATAGCCTCTGACAAGGTCGGAAGAATTTTAATTTATATATTTCCGACGTTGAGGTAGCTGTTAAGTAATTGTGTTAGTGGCTATCTTAGAATTTCCTTTCCTACCCGTAAAGTCGTTGCATCTTACGGTTGGTAATAATACAGACCAACCGACTAACTTAATT